TGCTCAAAACAATAAGTCAATTGATCTGGTGCTTGACAGGCCTTCTTCCTCGTCCATGCAAATATGTGGATCGCGAAACATTTTTATTCATTCGTGTACTAATTTCATTATCCCTGCAATTGTACTGGCGCAGTGATGAATTGGCGGAAACACATGTTTGCCGAAGAAACTTTCAAAGTTAAGCATGCAAGTATTTGCAAAACTAAGTCTGTCGCGAATAGATTTAATACACCTCATGCATCCCTGCAGCCAGCAAGGGCTAAGCAATGCTTTTGTTTAAAGCAGACCTTTTCAGCCATCTTATACTAAACAGAGAGCTGAATCGCCTGTTACAGAAGCAGTTATATATGTGCCGTCGTTTTAATAAATGTCATCCTGGCGTTGCCCACCGCCTTCAAGACGTTTTATAGGCAACGGGTTCAGGCAATAACAAAAAGTACAAGGTCTTGCTTTGTTAGCGATTACCAGACGGTCGCATTGCATGTGATAACGGCCAATAAATTGCAGTGTGTGCGACAACTGGGCCAAATTACCCAAAAGATCCACGAAGAAGGGGAGGGGGTCTGATACAAGTGTCCAGTGTGTTTGCTTTCTAGATAACAGTTGTATGCAAAACGTAGTTGACGGTACGCCTGAGGTAAAACGGTGGCAAAAGGCATTTATATGACCAAAAGGAAAGTGGCGAAACCATTTAGCTCGCGGATAAACCAAAACATCCGAATCCGGAAACATCCAGAAAATATGCAGGGTGACTTAAGAGTTTACATATTCAGTTGACCCAATTGTGGGATATTCGTGGCGGAATTCGAGTCCACACAATAGGGGAAGGTTTTAGTACACCTAAAGGTCTACCAGGTCCGCTACGAAGGCACGTCAACGCTTTAATCACATTTGAGTCGATTTAGGCGACCAGCCTATTGCATTGCATCCATTGCGCCATTATGAATACAGCAGCTGACAGCCCAGACAAGATTTTCTAAAGTATCATCTAGAGTCTGCCAGAATGACTACTAGGCTTATTAAGCTACTAGAAGCCTAAGTCTTCTAATATACTTACATATTTTCAAGTAATTTTGAGAAGGTGAAATCTAAAAAAATACCTGCGAGTCATGATAAAGGATGTTTTGTAGTCAAAATCCAAGCATGAATAAATTGACACACGTTGATGAACGCTCACGGACCACTGAAGTAACTCACTTATGCCGCCCTACCCTGGTCCCGACATCGGCCGCACAGCGGCATGACTAGCAATATGACCTGCCTACAGTGAGGGCTCGAGAAATGAGGCCTGATGTATAGCGGGACCAATGATTTCCGTTAGCGGTCGGTGAACATTCGTCAACACGTGTCAGTGTCCACCGAACTTGCCTTTGCCGGCAAAACGATGTATTTTAATAAATAAGGATTTAGACCCGGAAGTTTAATTCCAGAAGCAAGGAGTTAAAAACCCATAGCCATTAGGTTACGTGATCGTGAATATGGACTCACCGGTTTGATTGTAAGACACAACGTGTCTGTTTAGCCCAGCTCCTCATTACCAACTCAAGAACTGACATATAGGTCCAAGATGACGAAGCAGTAAAGAAGGGCAAACATCTTGTGTCGTGTAAGCGGAGTACACGGCACAAACAGGGCTTACCTTGAAAATTAACCACTAAAACCGGCAGGAGTTTGCTTGGTAGTGGCGAAAAAAAATCCACATTTTCAGGTTTGTCGACAGCGATTCGAGCTCAATTCGAGGTCGATTTGAGCTCAATCCGAGCTCAATTTGAGTACAATTAGGGTTAGGGTAAGGGTTAGGGGTTAGGGTAAGGGTTAGGGTTAGGGTCAGAGGTTATGGTAAGGGTAAGGGTTACGGTAAGGGATAGGGTTAGGGTAAGGGTTAAGGTAAGGGGTTAGGGTTAGGGTAAGGGTTATGGGTTAGGGTTAGGTTAAGTGTGAGGGTAAGGGTGAGTGTTAGGTGTTAGGGTTTGGGTTCGGATAAGAATTAGGGTAAGGGTAAATGTTAGTGTTATGTTCAGTGTGGGAAAGTGATATATTATCTAAAAAGTCCGAAGTTTCTGCTTAGTATTACAAAAGTCTTCAAAAAATCCATTTTTATTGCGTTTTTGGGAAGGAAATGTTTTCGGAATAAAACTCCACATTTCCAAGTTTTTCGACAACGAATCGTGCTCGATTCGAGCTCTATTTGTTTTTGCGCCTTTCATCGATTTACGCGCCCAACGCCGTGGGCTTTTAGCCCTCGTATTAAACTATTTCAACAAAAGTTTTCGACTTTTTTTTCCTATTTTCACAAAATCCTTTTTTGGTAAATCAGTTTTATCAATTAAAAAAACCCTTCTCATGGTTACTGTATGAAAACAACCTACGGCTTGTTGTGTCTAAGACCACTTTTAAGTAAACTCCTGCCCTAAAACCTTCTGATTGGAACTCTTGTGTTGCCAGATCACAATTAGCATTTCAACTGTCTCCGAACTGAATGCCTTTATTTTATTCCCTACAGCTTTTTTCTAAATAAGTAAATATGCGTCCAAAATATCAATTGTGTAATCTTTACCTCTTAAAATATATAAATGGGTACGTTGACAGGGCTGCAAATCTCAGCACTGTCAGTGCTGTACAAAGGAGCGACAAGGTACTCGATCTGAAATGCAGGACAAGCCCATAGTCGCTTTGCCATTTGCGAAGGTTAAATATCTTTTTAATGTGATTCTTTCGTATTTACAACGAAAAAGCACTTAACTTAGGACATAAATTTTACCAGAAGATTTTTTTGCAGCAGCCTTACAATTTCAGAAACAAAGGTTATTGGGTACTCTTTTATATACTGAGAGGATTCTCGTTTTTTTGCATAACAGCACTGTTTGGATGCAAAAATAGGTTAACATACAGTAAATCTCCAACGCTTGATAACAAAAAGCCGTGCCGCGAACCCCAAATGTAAAATGTAGTAAATAAACAACCGTTTTTAGAACGGGAATTACTGCCATTGATTAATTATTATAACGTTGTTATCAGCACTTACAATTCTCTCTATATGAATAACCGTATACAGTTCACGCTAAAATTCGTGCAAAATGCCGATATATGCCAAAGATTGATACACTTTCGTTAATCGGCATTGACTCAGGTTGTAAAACAAATTATCGTGCAGTCTATTCTGAAGTTATTTCAGGCATGATAGACTGCGGGCTTGTTAACGAACTTCATTCTGACCACAAACAAAACGTATGTACTGTAAAATGTAACTGCCTAAATGGTATGTGTTTATATCATTAATTTAGACTGCCTTTAAAAATTAAAATATATTTTATAATTTCTTGTACTCTTTTGTTAAAGAATTACGCCTTGTTTACATTTCATACTTGAAGAAAGAGTATCTTTCAGTTTATAAAGTGTCTTGATTGCCGAATAATTTTGAAACCTACTGTCTGCCACATTCGAATGCAAGATTTACAAGTTGCGCCCTATAAACATCCTGCTTAAGGAAAAATACGTTTTCGCCCACAGTCTGACGAAGAAAATAGAAAACTCGTTAAAAATCCGGTTAGCTAGCATGACCGAAATAACTTCAGAACAGTGAACACGATAATCAGTATCACAACCCGAGTCAATCCCGATTAGCTAAAATGTAACAATCTTTCGAATATGTCGGTACGTTGCACAATTTCTAGCGCGTACAGTAAATTCTACGGCTTTTATTCGTTAACTGTACAACACACGTAAACAAGAGGTGTTTGATATCTAGATTTTATATTTAGATTTAGATTTAAGAAAACTCATGGATAATAAAAACCCATCTGATTTGGTCCAATTCCGGCCCGCTTTTCCTTTACTTAACATAAATGAGATGAATTATTCCTTATTATACAGCCGTTGTGGCTCAAATCAATCAAAAATGCAAGATGATCATGTCAGCTGTGTGCTACATTATACTATTCAATTAAGATCACGGCGTTTTATCAGTTACGCCATCAGATCTATATTATTTGTCATTACCAAAGCCCCGTAAATTCTGTTTAGAAATATCGGTCCAAAAGCAAGCTTAACTCATCTGGAAGGCGCACATTTATTTTCTGCAGAAGGATGATATATATTGTCCACTTTAATAATATACCGATTATGAGCTTCATCAGTTATTTATGAAATTAAAGTTCAGTAATTCTGGTCACACTCTAAGAAGTGCATTGACGTCAGCGTCAGAACTCCGAAGACAAACATGCGACGATTTTTTCAGAGAATTAAACATTTCTTAGCTTTAATCTATAATTGGATAAGCTAACCTGATGAATACTGGCCGAATTTAGAAAGCAAAGGAGGAATGTACAGACTCTGTGACAACTTAAATAACTTTTAAAAGTTTCTCACATGATGATGGAAAAAACACGGAATTTGGTGTCAACAATATGAGATTTCTGTTTTCGTCTTCAGAAGGCTGCAGTTCCTGTTAAAAAATAATTGTATTCGACCAAGAGTACAGGATATCCTAAATGAACGGCAGCTGTAAAAATAAAATAAATTTCCTTGTTTTTTGTTTAGTTGCAACACTATACAGTTTTAAAATTGAAAGGTGCGTAGCTCACTAGGCAATTTGGAAATATTAAGTGATCATCAGCTAAAACCTGCGTCCGGCATTTCTGCTTAAAAAAACAAAAAACTTCAGCCGCCTTTAATTAACTTATTGCTGAAAACACTATTTCTCAATGCATCTTGGCCGAGGAGGGTTTTCGTTGCGCTTTCTAGCACACACCAAAGTACTTTCACACATGACCAGCTTATTCCGATTGGCGAAAGCGTTCGATGACCTGGTTGGATAGTTTTGACCAATCACATCATGGATCACTAGACCCGTTTTAGAACCACCTGCTCACGCGTCACTTCACTATATTTCCACCGCAGGCAAACAAAGGCGCTGACTTCATCATCAGCAGTCCAAATGACGACGACGAGGGAGATCATAAAGAGCAGGGAATGCCCTTGAAAACACCCATTCGTTCGCAATGAATGTGACGGATCCAAGAATCGCGTGTCTCAGTCGCCAAATCTGGGTAGATGGCCCGACCTACACAGATGCATTACAGGTCTACCGAGAAGTTATTGGCGCCTGGTTGGGCATCCCGATCATAGTGGTAGGCACCAGTACCAGCCTGCTAAGCTTGTGGATGTTTTCTGTGGATAAGTCAACGCCACGCACCACGAGATTCCTTCTGATAGCCGTCTCGGCCGCAGATGCCCTCTTTCTGCCCTTTGCAGCCATGCACATTCTCACCTACGCCTTCTGCCCATTGAGTTGCCGTCTTGCAAGTCCCCTTAACATCTTTCTGTTAGCTTCCATCTCAAGGATTTTTGGGAATTACTTTGAAATCTTCCGCAATTGGATCATGGTCTTGATCGGAATCGAGCGGTATGTTATTACTCGGCACCCGCTTAAGAGTAAAGCCTGGTGGACACCCAGAAAGACCTTTCAGCTGGTCCTTTGCATGGCTGTGTTTTGCTTCCTTGTTCGTATCCCCACCTTCACAGAAGCCATCATGTATGCACTGGACGATGGCAACAACAGTGTGATTATGACAAAAATCTCTAGGGCGCATACTGTGATGGA